GAGAAGAAAGGATTCGACTAAACACTTCTGTAGTAATTTGCTTCTTTTCACGGTTTAATGCATAAACAATAGATTAATAATAGTTAAGCGCCATTCCTTACAACTTACGTTATAACAAGCAATACGTATAATTTTATAAGTAAATAAAAATGTTGTCATGCAATTGTTTAAAAAACTATGCAGAACATATTTACAAGTAGCGCTCTAAAATTTAAAAAGTAAAAAGATGTACATTTTTTAAAGAATGTGTTCATGTAATTACAGATCGTAAGAGATGTGTACATCACAGACAAACCGACGTACCCTTACCGCGGGATCCTGCTCGACACAGCGAGGAATTACATCGACGTTGACATTATCAAATCTACCATTGGTAAGATTTTACTGACTTTTACTTACTCTTACGGTTAGATGGGGGGGGGGGGGGGGGGGGAAGATTAGGATTTTTTTTATTCCAATGGTAATGTTACTAGCTAGCGAATGGAAGAAACTGACTAAAGCCATTCCTTGCCATATTTTCTTTCTTCTGCAAATATATGATTATTACAGATGCATCTGCGACGGTGAAGTTGAACGCCTTCCATTGGCACATCACTGACAGCCAGAGCTTCCCGTTTGTGATGGACAGCAGGCCCAATCTCAGCAGACTGGGAGCTTACAGCCCTAGTAAGGTGAGACAGTTTTGTCACACTTATATTTCTCGCACTAAGGGCCTCCTGTGTGAGACATGACAACGCATTATTAATTTATTACGCAACTAGCTGTCGCCTGCAACTCCGTCCCCTAGAAATTATTAAAAAAACTTAATTAGTAGTCTGTGTGTTCTTCCAGGCCATCTACAGTTATACCAAATTTTAGCGACATCCATTCAGCCGTTTTGGAGATACCTTGTAACAAAGATCCATCCATACATCCAAACATTCGCATTTATAATATTAGTATTATATCATAAACATATTACTTTATAACAGTTTAGTAATAATTATAGTTAATTTTCTAAGATTGCGTTTCCAGGTGTATACGAAGAAGATAATAAAAGAGATAGTAGAGTACGGTCTGGTGCGCGGAGTGCGCGTCATACCAGAGTTTGATGCGCCTGCGCATGTCGGCGAGGGATGGCAGGACACAGACCTCACTGTCTGCTTTAAGGTATGCTTCTTTTAGTACTATTTCTCTTTTCTCTACCAATCCCCTTCTATCATTCTGTTATATGATTTTTACAACCCTCCTTTGACTAATTAAAGGTAGAAATGTCTCGTCTACCAGAAATTGTTGCTTTTATATTCATTTAATATGATACAGAAGTAGCAAAATTTGAACTGTAAATGTATTAAGTATCCTTAATTAAGACCAATTCCACTAGCGCGACTAATAAATGTCAGTAAAGAAAACGAGTTTTAAGAAAACAACGCCCACGGTTTGTGGGCGTTGTCAGCTGATAATCTAGTTTTCGTCTAGAGGGAGCTTACCATTAATATGGTCTTATTCTCTAGGGGGAGGGGGCGAAGGGGACAGCTGCTCCTTTCTACCTCTTTCTGCCCTTGAGTTTACTATATGATATTTGTAGGCGGAACCCTGGTCGACGTATTGTGTGGAGCCTCCCTGCGGCCAACTCAACCCGACCAAGGAGGAACTTTATGATGTGCTGTTTGACATTTACAAAGAAATGGCAGGTCAGTCATACTGCATTTCCATTTTTTTAGTCTACTACATTTATACTACCTATAGCAGTCGTGTCCCACTAGTTTAGTGGAAAAGTGCCTTATTTTTTTTTAAAAGATAGGTAAATAATGGTGATGTGTTTGTACAGAGGTGTTCAAGACGACGGACGTGTTCCACATGGGCGGGGACGAGGTGAGCGAGCGCTGCTGGAACAGCTCGGCGCAGATCCGCAGCTTCATGCTGCAGAACCGCTGGGACCTCGACAAGGCCAGCTACCTCAAGCTCTGGAACTACTTCCAGACCAAGGCGCAGGACAAGGCTTACAAGGTAATGACTACCGGCCTCGAAATAAAAAAAAACTTAATTATGCGTTCTTCCACACTGTGTTCTACGTCTGTGCCAACTTACATCGAGATCCGTTGAGTTGTTCTGGAGATACATTCTAAACAAAATCCATCTATCCATACATCCAAACTTTCGTATTTATAATATAAGGAAGATTTATACCTCTCTCTCTCTCACTCTGATTGTCTTTTTCTCTTCCTCTCTCTGTCACACAGTCGGTGTCCACGTGACCCGGTTACACCTATATTTTGAGATATCGATGAGTGAAAATGTATTATTTGTTACTTTTTCCAGGCATTCGGCAGGAGGCTGCCTCTCATACTGTGGACCAGCACTTTGACTGACTACAGTCATATTGAGAATTTCTTAGATAAAGACGACTACATTATACAGGTATAATTTATTTTTACTTTTAACTATTTGAGGTTATGTTTGGCATAAATTGCCGAATTGCTAACTACATAAATATTTGTGTTAAAAAGTATTTAATGTTTTAAATGACTAGGTATGGACGACAGGACAGGACCCTCAGATCTCAAATCTACTGAAGAAGGGCTACCGGCTGATATTGTCTAATTACGATGCCTTGTACTTTGACTGCGGCTACGGAGCTTGGGTCGGCACAGGTAAGATACAGGATGTTCCTAATACTAACATTTCATTTATCTTTATCATGTTGCGCAGTTTGCGCGCAAGTTTAATTCAACTATTCTATATCCGGGAGCGCAGCAGTCCACTCAGAGTTGTTTTTTCCAGTTTGCCACATTTTAATAAAAAAAAATTGACTCGAACTTATTAATATTTTTATTAGATTTTAAAATTTTTACACGGACTAATTGTATTATAGGAAATACTCTTTGATTTAATTAAAATATATCGGGTTATGATAAACTATAGGTGTATGTTTTTATTATTCTTAATATCAATTAGTCTGTTTTTGTGTTTGTATTATGTATTTCTCAAGAAGGGTTTGAGAAACATTTTAAACCGATGTATGAATGTAGAAGCGAGAAGTGTGTCAGAATCGCGCCAAATGGAAATCCGTGGTCTCTGCCTGCCCATCTGGGTTACGAGCGTGAGTTATATTGTTGTATAACATATAAATGCGTCAGGTAACAACTGGTGCTCGCCGTACATCGGCTGGCAGAAGGTGTACGAGAACCGGCCCAAGGACATGGCGAGGGAGTACTCTCATCTCATACTCGGTACGTATATCTCGTTTCTGTATTTAAATACAAACGGATTTATGTAACGATTAGCAATTGCCGAATTAGTGTAACTTCCCAATAGTGATATTTTCAAATCGGTTGTATAGTTTCGATGCCTTTTCAATGCAAACAAACAATCAAATCTTTCCTTTTTATAACATTTATTTCATGATTGCATATTTTAATAAGTAACCTTTAATATGCCCATAAACTTCAGCTACCTTCCAGTGAAAGTCACGTTAAAATCGGTCCAGCCGTTCCGGAGATTAACCGGAACAGTTGACCCGAACTGACAGAGACAAAAATAGTTTTTTTCGTTATATGTAAAGTATTATATATCACACACAGGAATGATTATTTTTATTACAATAAAACATACAGACACACCAAAAGAGATATGGGATTAATATCCACTGAGTTACACAGGCGGGGAGGCGGCGCTGTGGACGGAGCAGGCGGACTCTAGCAGCGTGGAGGGGCGACTGTGGCCGCGCGCCGCCGCACTCGCTGAGCGCCTCTGGTCTGAACCCGACACCGACTGGAGCCAGGCCGAGCACAGGATGCTGCACATGAGGTACACATCTACAGACATCCCATCACGTCACTATACCTACTTTTAGACATTATTAATTAGAATCATTTGGCACAAATGGCGCGCTTTTGTTAAAATGTCAAGTGTCAGAATGAATAGTGAGGGGACATAAACGTTGACATTTTAATAAGGCTAGTGTTGCGCCAGTACACCGGCACAATGTCGGATTTTCTTGCTAAGTGTACCCACTGAGAAGGTCAGAGCCTACCTTGTGTCAGAGATGACTAGGCCATAGTCAACCAAGCTGGCTCAGTGCGGGTTGAGAGACTCGATAGAATTGTACGGCGTGTGGGTATTAGCCCCCTTTTCCACTAACGTTACAAATTAATTTGAATTATTTTCTTTGTTACAGGGAGCGTTTAGTTCGCATGGGATACAAACCCGAATCGCTAGAACCTACGTGGTGCTATCAGAATGAGGGATATTGCTACAATTAAACTTTTACATTGAATTTGTATTAGCTTTCTATTTTGTAGTACGCGGCAGAGATTATTCTTATATTTAAGTTGGCCGACTGCAATTATTTTTACAATTTTGTATTTGTATTTCTTTTTCTAGATTACTTATGTAATGTATTGTAGTATGATACAGTGAATGATATAAATATATATTATTCGTTTAAAAGTATGGAATTTTTTGTTGTTTACGAGGATATTAAAGATTATGAATAAAGTATAAGCTTCTTATCTAAGGATCTTTGACTTTTATTTCTACAAGTAGTACTAAATCATCTAAAGCGCCGTCTCAAGAATATTGGAGGTTGTTTAAAGAACACAAAATATCAATGGTAAGTTTCTATTGGACAAAATGTTGACTATTAATACATCCAATTGGATTATAACGACAATTTTCTGGTCTACAATAAATTTAGGTCTAAGAATTCCTTTAAACGAATTATCAAATAAATCTTAATGTCACAAAGTACAGCTACACCGCTGATCACTGTTGATGATTATAAGATTTTTCTTTTTGAATATAGTCGTACATAACCCATGAGTCCCGTCTATTTAACAGTTCATTCATGTTCAAAATATACGTTTTTATTTCTTTTATTGCAAATACGTTTTTTTTTCTAAAAGCGATCACATGTCATTATGTGTGGCTGAAAGACACTGAAACTTTTGCCATTAAAACAAAAAAATAGGTTGAACGAAGTTGTCAACTTGACGTTTGTCATCTACTTGTCATTGTCAGTTGCCAAATTTATTTACTTTTACAATCTGTAGTCTGCCTGCTTTCTAAATTTTATTGATTGTATTTTTAAATAGTAAATATTTTGCATTAAAGCAGCATTCAAAATGAGTTGCTTTGAGAACGTAAATTTACCTAACTGCGTGTGGTTTGATGGGGGTGACAAACGAAATACTGTAGCTTCGATTTTGGCTGGTGTTTTGGTATGTATTTCCATGAATCATTGGTAGCAAAATGGGTGCGATTACCACTTTGTGTTCTCGTTTTAAAACATTTACTCAATATTGACATGTGTCGTGTGTTTGGTACCGTAAAAAGGCAATCTGCCCGAGAATCGTTTAAACACTGTTTTTATATGATTAAAAGTAAGTAAAATGTTTAGATGAAAGTTAAAAATGTCTCGTAGATATCATGTTATACAGTATTCTACTAACGTTAATAATTACTGTCATGTAAGATTTTTTTTGTTTGCTATGAAAATTTAGTATATCCTGTGTCCTGGGAACAAAAGTGTAAAAACATGTTTTACCTGTATCTACTTAAAATATCTCTAAGCATTAAACCATCTATTCATCACACCTTATCTGAATTATCTTTATCTAAGCAGCCCTTTGTTTGGAGCAAAGTTTTAGATTAAGTTTGCATATATTTCTTCTTTGTTCTAAATAAATATAGAATAATAACCTAAGCAGTATACTATTAATAAATTTTAAGATTTTTGTAACAAAAAGTGTTTTATTATAGAATACCTACATATCTGTCTATCAGTCTGTATATCTTGCTGTAATGCCATGTTTTTTGGGGTAAACTGCTTAGTGATAGGACTTTGGCTGGAAGGTGGCTGATGTGTCAGGGAATATAGGCTGTAGATTATGCTAGAAGTGATATTAATATATTACATATTATTTCTATTTAGCTATCTCTGGGATTTTATCTTGTATTTAATATATAATTTTGCATGTTTGATTGTTTTACTATTACAGTTCTTTGCGGGCTGGTGGTTCATCATAGATGCAGCGTCAGTGTATCCCGGAGATCTCCCCAATGCATCTCATGTGTGTGGTGTTATGGCAACACTCTCACTGGTCATGGTTAATTCTGTCTCCAATGCTCAGGTGAATAAAGATTCAAGTTCATTTAAAATAACTTTTAGATTAATGTTAAGGAAAACTAAATGGCTTCTATTATATAAGGTTATTGAAGTCTTGCAGTATATTGTTTTTTTTTCATCATTGCATTCCTGATTTTTGTACATGAAATAATGAAAGAAAAATTGTACACATAGCTGTGAAGACACACAAGAATGTGAAGTAGCCTAACCCTTGTTAGGCCGCCATGTTTGACTAAGGTTTTATAAAGTTTATAGAGCTAACAACATGCTCATGTTATTTCCAGGTCCGTGGTGACACCTACACAGGTGGGTGCATGGGCCCGCGTGGCGCTCGTCTCTGGCTGTTTATGGGATTTGTTGTAGGGTTCGCCTCCCTTATCTCAGCCTGTTGGATCCTCTTTGCTAATTATGTTAATGCTGGTAAGTTTTACATTCAAATATAAAAAAGAAAACTAACAACAGGTCTGGCAATGTTCAGCCATAACATCTGTTAGCGTTTATAACCTTCTTTGGATTGTATACAAAGGAGATGATACTACTATTACTTAATTCAGCCAGGATGTTTCCGTCTTAAGCAATATGTCATTTCAAGTGATAATGTCATATTAAAAAGTTTCTACTATAGTTTGTTTATAAAATTGTTATGGAAATCACAAATATTGTCGATGAATTGATGTCTGTTTTCATATTGTCGAAATAATTATTACTTTATATGATTTTATTTGTTACATTTCAGGGAGCAACAAGCATACATGGCCCGGTGTGAGCTTGTTCATGCAAAACGCATTTATATTTGCGGGCTCCCTCGTCTTCAAGTTCGGCCGCACCGAGGATGTTTGGGGATAAGATTACTCTAAAGTTTTATTATCTGTGACTACAAACATATTACAGATTCAAAAATAAGATGTTTAAAATTTAATTTATGTTAAAAGATCATTTAACTTGTTTATTGCGATTACCTTTATTTTTGTATGGATTTCATTTGTAAACTCGGTTGTGTGTATGTGAGTGTGTAAGCTTAGTAAGTCACAAAATAATATACAATTAGTTAACAATAAAACAAAGTGTATTATTAACATTTTGCACTATAAAACATTACATGCATCATTGTAATTAATAAAAAGTGTGAGATCTAATTTTCTTTTAAATTAATTACATAAATTACAGTAGAAAATTTAAATTTATTTTATAGCAACATTATAATATGTTAAGAATACTTGCTGTCAGAGGAACATTAATCGTTTTCTTTATTTTGGCTAGCGAAGTATTTTGTAAAGTACTAATTTTGTGTTATTTAAAAAATCATTGTGTAGTTAAAGAATTTCAAATAAAACAATACAGATTATATAAGTATTATATTTACATTAAGAAATACAAATAACATTATCTTCAAATTAAAAATATTTAGTAAGATTCCTAGTAAATTGGATCTTATTATGAAAGTTGGAAATGTTTGTCAAACATTGTGTATGTGAAATAAATAATTATTCCTTTGGTGTCTGTTGATTAAATCTATTATAATACAATAAAGATCTTAATACTATTTAATCTTTTTATTAAATAAAATATATGAAAATAATAAACTATACGCATTTCTTTTAATAAAGTTAAGTAAAATCAAATAACTTATTAAAATTATTACAATATAATATTTTTTCAATCAATTCGTTTTGAAAAGCAGATTTACATTGGTAGAAAATTTTACTAAAAGTACTCTTTGGTAGGTTCCAATGACTGGCAATTCTTAATTAGTATTTGCGTCTCCGTCAACGCAAGTCCTGCCACCCCTGCCGTCGGGTAAGCAGAGTTGTTCTGGACCACAGTTGCCGTTCCTGTATTGGCATACGTTGGTGTGTGTGGGACAGTCCTCAGGAGCCACAGCGACTCCGTACAGCCTCCGTGTGGCCGCCGCTATCGGTAGCCGGCCTTTCACTTGAGTCACTGTGTCTATATATTCAATATCCAGTCTGCAGAGAAACGAAACAATTACGAATTCATTTATTAAAATGCCTCAACGCTGGACTTATAAATGTAAGAGTGGATCTCGGAATAGCTTGGATTTATGATTAAACTCATGTGCAACCATGAGACAGTTTTTGAGTGTTGGCAATGCAGTGAATGGCGCTAGTGTTACTGCATAGAAAAAAACGGGTGTTGCTATCTGTGTCTTCCATTTTTTATTATATTTGTTGAAAAAAAGATTAGTACTTACGTTCGCCAGTCTGTCCAGTAAAACTTGTCGCCGCTGATGGCGAGGCCGAATGGATGTGAGCAGTTGGCAGCGATGGTCTCCCTCTCGGAGGTGGCGATGCTGACGCACCTGATGCTGAAGAGGCCCGCGTCCGCGTAGCACAGCCTGTCTCGCGCCCAGTCAATTGCTAGCGAGTTGGGCAACTTGACATCTGTCTGATCCAGAAACACGCCGCGTTGCGTGCCGTCCATGTTAGCCCATTCGATTTTAGGTCCATTGCGGTTCCAATCCGACCAAAAGATTTTTCTGGAAAACATTGTATATTTTGTACTATTCTCGTTTAGGAATCCTGTTTTTGTTTTGTAATTTTTTACTCTGAAAACTTACCCTCTCTGAGGATGAACAGCGATGCCTCTGGGGTTGGCGATACCGTCCACGGAGAAAAGAACTTTTCTCGTTTTCCTGTCGAGATTGGCCACTTCAATGGACAGCTTCTTCGAATCAGTCCAGAATATATTCCTTGCCGCCCAATCGACGGATAAACCTTCGGGAGTTTTGATGTCTGTAAATGTTAATTATATTATTTTTTTGTAGATGTTAGGTTATTACTTTAAATTTATAAAAGAGCAGACTTACCCTCCGTCAAGAAGTTTTCTAAGCTCGATCCATCGTAGGCTGCCGTCTTAATCACATGGCCGGCGACATCGCCCCAATATATTCTGCCAGTGAGACAGTCCACGTCGATTCCCACGGCCATCTGATAGACTGCGCTGTGCAGCGGCGTCGCGAACACTCTCGGCGAGACTCGGAACGGTACGCGAAACACGGACGCTCCGTCGCTGGCCACCAGGAAGTTACCAGCCTGGCGAGGGTTTAGCTCGCAAACGGTGCCGTTACCGTTATAACCCGTGTTGCACGCACACTCGTAACCTTCGGTCGACTTTATACAGGCGGCGTGAATATCGCACATGTACGGGTTTATTCTACAGCTGAGCTCCGGCGTGCAGGTGTAGCCGTCACCGGTGAAGCCGTCTTTGCACACGCATTGGTACGACTGGTCGACTAGTGTGCACGCGGCGTCATAGCTGCAGTCGTGTGCAACATCACATGTGTTGCCTTGCGGGACACACTGCCCTATCCCCTCTCCCTCGTACCCCGGGTCGCAGTGGCAGTAGCTCACGCCGATTGTCTCGTCATAGAGGCAGGAGGCGTGTTCGGCGCACACGGCGCCATTGCACAGCTGGCCGTCCGGGATGCAGGCGTCGTTTTGATCTTTGATGTACCCGTCTATGCACTGGCAAGCATAGTCACCGCTGCCTGGGTCCGGTCGGCATTCGGCGTGGTACTCGCAGTCGGAGTTGTTGGTGCAGCTGAAATTGGGCCGACAGAGGTATCCGTCGCCGTGGTAACCGGTGGCACAGACGCAGATAAGTTCACCCGTAGGCGTGTCGATGCAGTGGGCATTCATGCCACAAGAACAAGTGGGCCCTCTCTTTTCTATACACTCGTAAGCGTCTCCTTCATAACCTTCGGGACAAATACATTGGCCGTAATTTGTCTCCGTGGCCTCCGGCGATGGAACCGAGCAGATTGCGTTCGGCGGACAATCGGAGTCGCCTAAACATTTAACTGAAAGTAAGAATTTTTTTTGTAGAAAATGTAAATTATAAACTAGTAAAATTATGCAATACTTCCATAAATTTTACTTACTTCCTGGGTCATATCGACATAAGCTGTTACCACGTTCGTCTTTGAAGCTGATGTACCCTGCCGGGCAGGTACATTCGTAGACATCGCAGTGCGGTAACACAATGGACTCGTTATAGTCCGATTCAGTGACAGTCGTAGTCGGTTTGGTCGTGGGCGCGTCAGTAACTTCAGACTCTTCACTTTCATCCAGTGTTTCTTCTTCGGACGGTGTAGTGCTAGGTTTGGGTGTAAAAAAAGCATTAGGGTAACTAGGATAATCTGGGACAGTTGGCCTGTAAGGGGGCAAGCTCGGTGCGGTTTGATAGCTTGTAGTGCTGGATGCATAAGTAGAAGCACTTGATTCTTGACTTGGATAGTTATATGGGATGTTCGAAGTTGGAGGTGTAGGGTAGCTAGATCCACTTGCACGTTCCGTCGTGGGTGTGGTGGGGACGTCTGGGGTACAGTAGTATCCATCGCCGATATAGCCACTGTTGCACTCACAGTTGTAATTGTTTGTTTCCGTTACAAATCTGCAGTAAGCGTTCGGAGAGCAGTTTGGAGAACATTTATTTTCATACGTTGGCCAACATCTTTGTCCATCTCCAGTAAATCCAGGATTACACATGCATATCGCTTCATTTTCCGTGTCCAAGCATTGAGCATTTGGGTCACAATTTCTGTCCCTGCATTGTAGAACACGACTGCAGGAGACGCCGTTTCCTTCGTACCCGTCCCGACATCTGCATTGGAAACCTCCCTCATGATTATAGCAATCTGCATTTGTATCACAGTTGTGAGTCCCGGTCGTACATTCGTCTATGTCGTCGCATTCGACGGTGGAATCGTCCCGATATTGGCTCGAGAAACCTGACTGGCACACGCATGCGAATGTGTCTCCTTGCACTACGCACGTGCTGTGAGGACCGCAACTATTTTTACCTTCAATGCAAGGGTCCTCCTTACCTAAAGCTACAATTTTATTACTAGTACCGTATCTTACGATATTTTCTCTCGACTCATATCCAAGATAGTTTTTAGCCACCTTCAAAGTCGAGGAGGTCGTGTCATCTTCTGATGGGGGATGGTATCGACAAGAGTTGAATGTGAAGGTTTGTGACACTCTCTGTTCGTACTTTTCACCAGTCACTTTGTTCGTAAATGTGCGAGAAGAGTCGCTGCGTAAGACACCTAATTCAACTAGCGTATATTGCTCTTCGTATTCTGAAATATCAAGCTTGGTTCCGGGTGCCACCACAGGTATAGTGCCTCTGACATCAGCTTCTAGCGTTATCTGGTCGAATACATCGTGACCCAAGTATTCCTGGTACACCGTTAGTCTATCACCAGTATCGGGGAAGAAAATATCAGCGGAGTGATTAAAAAGAGCACCGGTCAACTGATAGCCGTTCTTGGCGTCACCAGACGGCTTCGCAAAGAGCCAGCCGATAACTCCTCCTATCACACTCAGTTGTAGTAAGCTGGTGCCGAGTGTTGGTGGTGCTTGGGACAGAGCTGTGTAGGATCTGCCATCTGCTACCACGACATAAGCTTGTACGTCTACATCATTTAGATTAACATTATTGATGATTCCGTTGACTTTTCCGTGGACACGGAGTGGCACGTCGTCTTTGATACAAGACTTTCCATTGCCGTAGAATCCTTCCTCGCATTGGCAACATATACCCGCAGGATAGTCGACGCAGCGCGCTTGGATGTGGCATACGCTGGGGCCGCTCTGCGCGCAAGTTTTCGATTCCTCTTCGATCTCATCTTCGTTTTGATTGTACAGGTCAGGGACAGCTACGTTGCCATCGGACGAAATGTTTCCCACTCGGAATACGTATTTACCTGGTTCGTGGACGTTGCTCCATCTGGAAAAAGTAAATTAGTGGTATAATATAGAAAGCAGGAAAAGATGCGTAAAAAAGGTGTCATATTTTTAATTATAGGGAAGGGTTATATGTAATTAATTATTGTTATCGCATATAAAAACAACTTACGAAACAACGTTTCTAATTTGATGGCTGCCGGATCCCCGGAGCGTCAGCAGTCTGCCGTCCTCTGCGACGAAGCCAGCCTGGGCCTTGGCGTCGGGCAGACTGTTGGGCTGCGCCTCTCGCTGTATCCATTGGATGTCTCGCTCCGGGTAGATCAGCTCCACGAAGCTCTCAGTGCCATTGCTGATCACAGCGATCTGGAAACTGTTCTTGCGGTCGGAATGGCCAGCATAGGAGACCTCCAGCCATGTTGCGATAAATACACTTTTAGGTTTGAAGTCATAGTAGTCGTGGAAATTGCTTTGCACACTTTCCTCGGCTTTGATAAGTACGTGGGGTTCGTCCGTTTCCCTGTAGAATATGTCGCCGACTTCGCTCGTGTCCACGTTTGTGTAGAACGCTGCTATGGATGGATACGGCAGAGGGAACTCCGCATTTAGGAACGATGGAATGTCCGCTCTAAACGAAAGGACCCCGTAGTTGTTAACCTGTAATCAAAAAGGTAAGGATTTATACAAGATGCCCTTGAAACCTAGGCGCTTTATAATTTGTCATAATACTAAATTATATTAATGTCTTCTCTTAGTCTTAATACATACATCTAGAAAGATATTTATT